AAAAAAAAAAAAAAAAAAAAAAAAAAAGAAAGAAAGAAAGAAAAAGAAAGAGAAAAAGAAAAACTGGCCTCACCCCAGTCCCACCACAGTCTGCAGAGCGGTTGTCTGTCCCGGCTCCAGGCCAGTCTGCGGCAGATCCCCGTCATTTCTGCCTCAGTCTCTGCGTCTGTGGGTACCGATGCGTGGGTAGGTCATTCTCTCTCTTGCGTTCCATGTCTGTGTGGCCTGGGCACTCAGGGCTGTGGAGTGGCCCTGCCAGGCCCTCCTTAGCACAGCCCCGGGGGACCTCTTACTCACTTCTGGGACCGGAAGGCGACCTGTAGTTCTGGGAGCCGCCGCAAGGGGGCAGAGGCAGCCATAGGATGAGGCGCTGCCCAGTGGGGCTACCTTGGGATGCGACTAAGAAACCCAGGAGCCCTGGGAGGAACCGCACTCCTGGCGCCCCCGATGCAGGTTTGAATCCGAGCTCCTCCATTGCTAGGCTAAGGCTCTTAATATGGCCACCAGTAAAATGGGTTACTGTAAAGATTAAATAATGTGAATATAAGGTACCTCGTTTGTGAATCTATTTTTCCCCAGACTGGTTGGGAAACTGTGGACCTCCCACAGAGGCTGGGGCCATTTAATAAGCCAGACAATTTAAGGAATTTTTATTTCTCTAAGTGCCTAGTACTGAGAGCGGTGAGTAAGGGAATGACATGATTAGAAAATGAAATAGAAGGAAGAGGAGGAGGGGGAGTGGAAGAGGAGGGGGAAGAGGAAAAAGAATATGAAAAAATGCACCTGAAAAAAAAATCCAGGGCCAGACGTGGTGGCTCACACCTGTAATTCCAGCACTTCCGGGTGCTGAAGTGGAAAGATTACTTGAAGCCAGCAGCCTGTGCAACACAGCGAAATCCTAAATAAATAAGTCAGGCATGGTGGTGAGTTCCTACGGTCTCAACTACTTGGGAGGCTGAGGTGGGAGGATCACTTGAGCCCAGGAGTTTGAGGCTGCAGTCGGCAGTGATCACGCCACTGCACTTCAGCCTGGGTGACAGAGCAAGACCCTGTCTCAACAACCAACCAACCAACCTACCTATAATCCTACCCCTCATAACAACAACATTGGGTTTTTGGGTTTTCATACATGGATTTGTGGTCTTTTTCTCACAACAAACTCATACATCCAAATATAAATTCATGAATATTTGCCCACAAACTCAAAGGTGCAAGAAATGTCACATTACTTCATTAAATTTTTTAAAAATTTAGGCCGGGCGCAGTGGCTCACGCCTATAATCCTAACACTTTGGGAGGCCGAGGTGGGTGGATCACCTGAGGTCAGGAGTTCAAGACCAGCCTGGTCAATATGGTGAAACCCCATCTTTTAAAATAAAAATAATAATAATTAAAAATTTTAAAGCACTTGTTTTATAAACACACTCAACAGTAAAAAATCCAAGCCACTTAGAAAGTATACTGAAACCCCATCTTAAAAAAAAAAAAAAGTATACTGAAAAAAAGCAATAAATCTCCCACTATCTGTGGGGTTTTATATTTCATGAATATCATTATAGAGTTCTCTCCACACAGGCTCAATCTATCTTTATAGGGTGAACAAACAGATGTACAGGTAAGTCTTTTGGGTTTTTTTTGAGACAGGGTCTGGCTCTGTTACCCAGCCTGGGAAGTAGTGGTACTATCCCGGCTCACTGCAACCTCCGCCTCCTGGGCTCAAGCCATCCTCCCACCTCAGCCTCCCAAGTAACTGGGACTACAGACGCGAGCTACCATGCCTGGCTAATTGTTTTGTATTTTTTGTAGAGACAGGATTTCACCCTGTTGCCTAAGCAGGTCTTGAACTCCTAAGCACAAGGGATCTGCTCAACTTGGCCTCCCAAAGTGCTAGGATTATAGGCGTGAACCACCATTCCTGCCGACAGGTAAGATTTTTTTAAGACTGGGATCATAATCCATGTTATTCTGTTTGTGTGTATATAGCCAGTGACTTGTCATTATGTACGTATGCCTGTGTGTGTTAAAAAAAAAAAATCAATTAGTAGCGACAGGGCTTGGTGGTTCACGCCTGTAATCCCAGCACTTTGGGAGGCTGAGGTGGGTGGATCACCTGAGGTCAGAAGTTCAAGACCAGCCTGGCCAACATGGCAAAAATCCGTCTCTAATAAAAATACAAAAATTAAGCCGGGCACAGTGGCTCACACCAATCTGAGCTCACACACCTCAGGCTGAGGCAGGCAGATCACCTGAGCTCAGGAGTTAGAGACCAGCCTGACCAATATGGTGAAACCTCGTCTTAAAAAAAAAACACCACCACAAAAATTAGCCAGGCGTGGTCACACATGGCTATAATCCCAGTTACTCAGGAGCCTGAGGCACAAGAATCACTTGAACCCAGGAGACTGAGATTGCAGTGAGCCCAGATCAAGCCGCTGCACTCCAATTTGGGTGACAAAGTGAGACTCCATCAAAAAAAAAAAAAAGCAAACTCGGAAATTATTCTCTCACAGTTCTTGAAGTTCAAAGTCAGGAATCAATCTGTTGACAGGGTCATTTGAAGCCTCGAATGGAGGATTCCTTCATTGACTCCTCCAGCATCTGGAGGCTACTGGCCATCCTGGTGTTTTGAAAGTTTAAAAGGGTCTGGGCAGAGGGAGGAAAAGGAAGTTTGTTTTATGGGTACAGAGTTTCAGTTTGGGATGTTGAAAAAGTTCTGGAGATAAATAATGGTGACAGTTACGTACCATTGGTTACATGAATGTATTTAATGGCACTGAATGGTACATATGAAAAATGGTTAAAATGGTACATTTCATGTCTATTTTATACCATCCTCCCTAAAAAAAATGTTTTTAAGTCAAGCTTTTCATTTTGTTCATTTATTGTTTTCAAATTTTAATTTTTTATTTGTATATTCTTATAGTTAATGAAAAAAATGTTTTTTTAAGAGTCAAGATTTCACTCTGTCTCCCAAGCTGGGGTGCAATGGGGCGATCAAAGCTTACAGCTTCAAATTCAGCCAGCTTTCCTGGCTCAAGCGATTATCCAGTTTAGCTGGGACTACAGCCGGTGCCACCACGCCCAGCTCAGTTTTGATTTTTTCCCCCCATTGGTAGAGACGAGATCGCACTATATTGCCTAGCCCGGTCTCAAACTCATAGAACAAAGGGTGCTCCTGCCCGGGCTTCCGCGTGGGCTGTCAAACGCTGGGATTACCGGATTACAGGCCGGCGCACCGCACCGGGAGCAAACACGGCGCGCCGTAAAAATTCAGGTTGTGATTGGCTATCATTCAGAATTATGCTAATTCGCATGTTTTTCAATTTTTTAAATTAAAACAATTGTTAAAAATTATGTTTCCACTTAAAACGTTAAAATATGTTGTTAGTAATAGTATTCGAAAAGCTGTTGCTGACAATCTGTCTTCCTGCTTATTTCCTAGTGGAATCAGAAATAGCGAAACTATCTCGCCATCAGTGAAAAGTGTGTGGCGAATGTAGACCCGGCAGAGGCGGCGGCGGAACCCTAAGACTATACTTTCAGGGATCATTTCTATAGTTCGTGACTAGAGAAGTTTCTCTGAACGTGTAGAGCACCGGAAACCACGAGGAGGAGGCACAGCGTTTTCTCCTGAGCGTGAAGTTGGTTTTTGGTGTTGCTTTGCGGCGACTGCCATTTACCGTTGATGATCGTTCTCTTTCTCCTTCCTGGAGAATGAGAGGGAGAAAACGCAGTCTGAGTGGTTTCCTTTATTATCTGTTTGATGAAAGATAATAATTAGATTAAAAGGAAAAATTCACCGGTAACGAGTGTTACGTGTTCTCACTAAATGTGGTGTTTCGTTTTTTTCGGTAGGTTTTTTAGTTTTGACGAATGAAGTTCTATAAGTTAATTTTACTTCTTTTTTTTTTGTTGTTGTGTTCTCTTTTTTTTATTTTTAAGTTGTGCTGTTTCTTTTTTTTCCCAACCAGGTTGATACATGAACTCTGGTTTACTGCAGTCTCTGTTTCCAGAATTCAAGGGATTTTCACTCCTCAGTTTCCAGAGTAGTTAGGATTTGTAGGCACACACCACTACCTTGGTTTTTTGTATTTTTGATAGTGATGAGGTTTCACCATGCTGGTGTTGAACTCCTGACCTCCTGAGCTGCCTGCCTCAAGCCTCCCAAAGTGCTGGGGTTACAGTGGTGAAACGCTGCGCCCGCCCCTGTTCCTACATTTTGAACAATGGGACACAGCCAGCAGTATAGGTGGCTCTCTTTAAAGAGAGTTGCAAAAGAAAAATAGTATTCTAATCACTCTTGGGTACTATGCTTCTTTTATGTTTCTTTAGTAAAGTAAAATCTTAAATCAGCTTTTTTCTTTTTTTTCCCGAGATGGAGTCTAGTCTCGCTTAGTCGCCCAGGCGATTATGCAATGACCCAATCTTGGCTCACTGTAACTTCACCTCCCAGGTTCAAGCAATTCTTGTGCCTCAGCCCCCTGAGTAGCTGGGATTACCTAGGCACCCACCACCATACCCAGCTAATTTTTAATACGCAGGTTTACATGGGAGTGACATTAAGCTGATTTTTTGTATTTTTAGTAGAGACAGCATTTTGCCATGTTGGCCAGGCTGGTCAATAACTCCTGACCTCAGGTGATCAACTCGCCTTGGCCTCCCAAAGTGCTGAGATTACAGGCCTGAGCCAGCAAGCTTGACCCTAAAAGTTTTTTTTTTGAGACAGAATGTTGCTGTCTCCAGGTGCCAGGCTGGAGTGCAGTGGTGCAATCTTGGCTCACTGCAATCTCCGCCTCCTAGGTTCAAGCAATTCTCCTGCCTCAGCCTCCTGAATAGCTGGGGACTACAGGTGCGCGCCACCACGCCCAGCTAAATTTTGTATTTTTTAGTAGAGATGGGGTTTCACCATGTTGGCCAGGTTGGTCTCAATCTCTTGACCTCGTGATCTGCCCGCCTCAGCCTCCCAAAGTGCTGGGATTACAGGCGTGAACCACGGCGCCCAGCCCTAAAAGTATTTGTTATAGACATGCGTTCCCCCTCTGTTGCTCAGGCTGGTCTCAAACTCCTGATCTCAAGTGACTGCCTGCGTCAGCTGCACAAGTAGCAGGCATTACAGGCACAAGCCACCATCCCTGGCTCTATTTAGGAACGTCTTAGTTCCAAGTTTCAGCAATTATGGATAAAGCTGCTCTAAGCATATATGTGCAGGTTTTTGCATGGACATACGTTTTCAACTCATTTGGGTAGACACCAAGAGGCACGAGTACTGATCATATGGTGAGAGTATGTTTAGTTTTAGAAGAAGTTGCTTGTCTTTGCTTGGGCTGTATAACAAAATACCACAGACTTTGTGGCTTGAATAACAGAAATTTGTTTCTTATAGTTCTTAGTTGGGCAAGATAGCTCATACCTATAATCCCAGCATTTTGGGAGGCCCAGGCAGGAGGATCGCTTGAGTCTAGGAGTTCAAGATCAGCCTTGGCAAACATTGCGAAAACGCATTTCTACTAAAAATACAAAAAATTAGCCCAGCATGGTGGTGGGCACCAATAGTCCGAACTACTCTGGAGGCTGAGGTGGGAGGATTGCTTGAGCCGGAGAGGTTGAGGCTGCAGCTGCAGTAAGTCATGATGGCGCCACTGCACTCCAGCCTGGGTGACAAGGCCCTACCCTGTCTCAAAAAGAAAGAAAGAAAGACATTTATTTCTCACAGTTCTGGAGGCTGAAAGTGCAAGACCATTCAAGGTGCGGGTGAGGGAGGTTTCATTCTGCTGCCCCTCTCTCGGCTTGTGGATGTGTGCTCACATGGTAGGGAGGAAGGGATGGAAGGAGAGAAAGAAAGAGGGAGCCCAAGAGTTTGTTCTCAAGTCTCTTCTTTGAGACAGGGTCTTGATCTGGGTGCAGTGGTGCAATCATGGCTCACTGCAGCTTCGACCTCACGCTCAAGTGATCCCCCCACTTCAGTCTCTCGAGTATCTGGGACAAAAGGTATGTGCCGCCATGGCTGGCTAATTTTCAATTTTTCTGTAGACACGAAGTCTCACTATGTTGCCCAGGCTGGTCTCGAACTCCTGGCCTCAGGCAAGCCACCTGCCTCGGACTCCCAAAGCGTGATTTACAGGCATGAGCCACTGCTCCCGGCCATTTCTGGTTTTTTAAGAGACAGAGTCTTGCTCTGTCTCCCAGGCTGGAGTGCAGTGGCCCAATCGTAGTTCACTCTAAACTTGAACTCTTGTGCACAAGAGATCTTTCTCCCTCAACCTTCCAAGTTCCAAGTAGTTGAGACTACAAGCATATGCCACCAAGCCTGGCTAATTTTATTTATTTATTTAATTTTTTTTTATAAGATGGGGTTTCACCATGATGGCCAGGCTGGTCTTGAACTCCTGACCTCAGGTGATCCACCTACCTCGGCCTCCCAGAGTGCTAGGATTATAGGCATGAGCCACCGTGCCTGGCCTTATTTATTTATTTTTGAGACAGGGTCTCACTCTGTTGCCAAGATTGGAGTCCAGTGACCCAATCTCAGCTTACTACAACCTCAGCCTCCTGGGTTCAAATGATTCTTCCACCTCTGCCTCCCAAGTAGCTGAGATTACAGACATGTGCCTCCATGCCCATCTGATTTTTGGGTTTTTAGTGGAGACGAGATTTCACCATGTTGGCCAGGCTGGTTTCAAACTCTTGACCTCAGGCGATTCACCTATCTTGGCCTCCCAAAGTGATGGGATTACCGGCGTGAGCCACTGTGCCTGGCCAATTTTTACTTTTTATCTATTTATTTTTTTTAGCTGAAAAAAACCATCTGCATAAATTTTTTTATTTTTTGAGATGGGGTTTTGCTATGTTGCCCAGGCTGGTCTTGAACACTTGGCCTCCTAAAGTGTTGGGATTGTAGGTATGAGCCACCACACCCAGTCTGGTGCTTTTTACTTTGTTAAAAAAAAAAAACTGGGGGCTGGGCGAAGTGACCGATGCCTGTAATCCCAGCACTTTGAGGGGCTGAGGCACGACGACCACTTGAGCCCAGGAGTTCAATAGCAGTCTGGGCAACATAGTGAGACCCTGTGTACACGCGCGCGCGCACACACACACACACACACACACACACACACACACACACACAGTTGAGCTGATGGTACACGCCTGTAGTCCCAGCTCCTCAGGAAGCTGAGGTGGGAGGATCGTTTGAGCCTGGGGAGGTCGAGGTTGCAGTGAGCCGAGGTTGTGCCCCTGCATTCCAGCCTGGGCAACAGAGTGAGACTCTGTCAGAAGGAGAGGGAGAGGGAGGGGGAGGGGGAGGGGAAGGAGAAAGAGGGGCAGCTGAATGAAACATTTTTTCTTCTTTTTGACAGGGTCTGGATATATGTTTTGGAGGCTGGTCTGCGCAAGTTGGCCTCCAGCTCCTGGGCTCAAGTGATCTTCCACCTCAGCCTCCAGAGTACCTGAGACCAGAGATGTCAGCCCCTATCCCTGGCTGCTTTGTTAACATTCGTGACATGATCATGCCCTGTTCTTAGTAAGTCTCCCAGCTGAGTCTTAGTTCTGTGTTGAAATAGATTCAACATTCCCCTTGTCCTGAGTTCTTTATTTTGATTTATCTATAAATTGACCAGATTTTATTATGGAGTTTTTTTTTTTTTTTTTCTCCAGGAAGGTCTGAGGGGTTGCGGTATTTCATGAGTGTAACAATTTGGGTCTAATCAGGAGATTGCACACAATAAATTGAGTAGGAATCATTAACTACGATAGAGGAGTAATTCTAAGATAGAAGGGAACTCTCCGTGGTACCCTGGTGCCGAGGGAGAATACTTGAGGAAGCCCAAACTTGGAAAAGGTCCAGCTCTCACTGGGGATGGTACAGTCTGGCCAGCAGAAAGCAGAGATGTTCTCTGGTTTAGTGAGACTGGAGCTGGTCTGGAGCTGCTGGACAAACGACAGGTGCCTCTCGAATGCAGGTGGTGGACAGGGGATCTCACAGCATGCTGTCCTTTTGGGGCTTGCAGGGGAAGTGGCTGCGTGGTGTGTGACCCTCCAAGCCCAGGCAGCTGTGTGCAGACCACAGAGGGGCTTTGCTTTCTGTGTTTGAGAGGCTTGGGGAAGCTTATCACTGGGCTGAGGCTACAGTAGGGTGCAGAGGGATTGGATTCTGGGCTGAGGCTGCCAGGCGCCATCAGGTGTCCTCACACACGCAGCTGACCCTCTCCTTCCCCTGTGCCATACAGTACAAGCAGCCTCTGCCTACAGATTGCTCTACTAAAAAGAATTAATGCTGTCTTCACTTCAAAGTAAAAATGCTTAAAGGGGCAGGCTGAGCATTGTGGCTCACGCCTGTAATCCTAGCTCTTTGGGAGGCTGAGGTGGGTGGATCACCTGAGGTCAGGAGTTCAGGACCAGCCTGGCCAACATGGTGAAACCCCGTCTCTAATAAAAATACAAGAATTAGCTGGGTGTGGTGGCCAGCTCCTGTAATCCCAACTACTCAGTAGGCTGAGGCAGGAGAATCACTTGAACCTGGGAGGCAGAGGTTGTAGTGAGCCAAGATTGTGCCACTGCACTCCAGCTTGTGTGACAAGAGTGAAACTCTGTCTCAAAAAAAAAAAAAAAAGTTTAAAGGAATTCCTTTATCATACAGATATATTGAAAGATGCTTTTGGAGCTGTGAGCAATAGATTCATGACTAACACTTGACAATCAAACTAAACTAACAGTCAAATGAAACTTGATTGGCATTTTGTCATCTG